TCTGAGGTGAGTTCAGTGTGTTCTCTCTCTCGTACGTCTCTCTCTCTAGCACCATGTTTATTGAATTCAGTGTGTTCTGCATCGAGTTGGAAGCGTGTTTCATTGATGACGAAGCTCGTCAAGTTCGTCTCGTCAAGTTTAAGGCGTGTGTTGTGTTCTGCGTTTTTGGTTTTTGTTCTTACTTCTTAGTATTGAAGCGTCAATCGTTTGTGTGATTTAGTGAAGTCAGTCATGGAATTGTGGTTCTTATATAATGGAATGATTGGAATCATGTGTTCTTATATATGCTTTGTGTTCTTATATAATGGAATGATTGGAATCATGTGTTCTTAATTATATATGATTTGTGTTCTTATATATGTTCTCTGTAACTCTTTTGGTTTCTATGCTTAGACCCTTTTGTAGATGATCTTCTTATAGTATAGAGCTTGTGTGATTATTCGCTTCTGTATATTTCTGGTGGGTCAAATGTAGATCTGTCCCAAATGTGTCAAACAGATTTTTTCTTACACATATAAATATATAATTAGAGACTTTGGATCAGAAGATGAAGACAAGAGATGACTTGGGAAACTAAAGAAGATACAAGTGTTTAAAATAATGTGTTTGACTCATGAAAGTGTGTAAGGAAACTCATGCTCAATATAAAGGAGTGCCTGAGTGCCCTGTCGTGAATGGTGTTCAATATAAAGGAGATGGTGATACTTCCTGCAAGAAATATAAGTGTTTAAAATAATTTGTTTGACTCAATCTAATTTGGGGTGTATAAGGGAACGCATGAACGTGACATTGTACCAAAGTGGGTTTATATACATACACATGCTCGTTTTGCTGGTTTTCTATTTTCTGGAGTTCTATATATGAACCGTTTGATTTAGGTCGCAAGGCTAAAGTATAGAGTTGTGTTTACTGGTTAGATGAACCGTAAGGCTTCCATGTGATCGTATGTAATACAGTTCTCTGTACTTCTATCTTTAATATTATCGAATATATAAGTTCTATTTTGGCTAAAAAACAAAAATTTCTGTAAAGGTTAGTGGGTTTGTTTATTTACGTGAAGTCAGTCTTAGTTTTATAGCTTTTGGTCATATTAAAAAAGCTAGCTTAATAGTTTTATAGATTTTTAGTTTTATGGTTTCTTTGTTTTATAGCTTCCAAGATTACATTAAAATTTCTGCTTTTTGATCAAAATTTTATTGGTTACTTAGAACCCGAAATAAAACCAAACCCGAACCCGAAAAATCCGGCCCGAACCCGAGCCCGCCCGAAAATATATTTATACCCGAATGGGCTTTAGAAGTCCAAACCCGAAATCCCGAAAAGCCCGGCCCGAACCCGAACGGGCCCCCGAATGCCCAGGGCTAGATGGAGTTATATGGAGATGGAGATGGAGTATTTTTTATTTATTTATTGTGAAAAGAAATATATGGATTATTAAAACATAAACAAAATAAATCAAAGAGTATAAATAAAGAGAATTTTTGAGAAATACCCCTTTTGGTGTACCTCTTTTTAAAAATACTCCCTTTATCTATCCATTTTCAAAAATACCCCTTTTTAAATATAAAAAAGTATAAAGTTTTATATAGTTTATAAGGTACTTCTATATAATAACTACTACTGGGAGATTCGATACAAATATTTTAAAATGTTCTAAATAGTTTTAAATCGTTTTTATAAGTTTTATAAGGTTTTTAAAAGGTTTTTAAAAGGATTTATACGGTTTTTATAAGGTTTTTATAAGGTTTTTATAATTTATTTTTACGCTATTTATGAAAGATATATAAAGTTTTATACACATATAAAGGTAATTTGTGTATATATTTATAAGCTTACACACATATTTGGATAAATTTCAACATTTTTAGTGAGTTTTTTGATAAAGTTTAAAAAGGGGATATTTTTAAAAAGAGATATATGAAAAGGGGTATTTTTGAAATTCCCCCATAAATAAATTACATCTTCCTATTCATAGTTGAGCAAAATTACAAAATAAACTAGTGTATGATATGCATTTTAGTAATTTCAATAATGTTAGAAAATTTAAATATATACAGTTCAATGAAACTAATGGAATAATTGAGGTATCTTTATGAGAGACTAATTATGGTATTATGTTCTTTCTTAATACCTTTTTTTAATATAAATTGATAGACAAAGCATTTATTCTATTGACTATTGTAACATTTTTTTAGGTGAAGCTTCTTAAAAAAGGCTATTGTATTGTAGTATCCTTTATATAGGGACAACTTTATTACTTTATCTTTCTTTTTTTTTTTTTCTTTCTCACTTTAATTTTAGTTTCATTTTCAATGAACTTAAGGAACAGTCTTTTGTATCATTCGTCTTTTAATCTGTCAGCTTTTAGTTTTTTTCGTACTTACTTCAACTAGTTTCTCTTGGATACGGTCAAGTTCTTTACTATTTATAGTTCTCTTTCGATGAACATTAAACAAAAGCTGCACTCCTAACAACGTGTAAGATATACATATGTCTTACTAAATCTAGTGGAAAGCCCACCAAGTTTTCATGGGCTTTTTAATGAAAGGGACTCAAAGCCCGATAAGTTTCTCCTTTTTTCTTTTCTTTTACGCACCTTTATTGTGAGAGACTTCAAAGGAAGTTGACAAAAAATGAAGTGAGATTATTCATATGAAAGAAGAAGTTTTAGCTTGCTAATTCTACAGACCATTTTTCAAAGCCGTCCAATATATAGAGTTAATATATAGTCTTTTTGGTTGTTGTTAAAGAAGTTAATATATTGCAAGATTAATTAGTCTTGATTTGGTTCTTCGTGAGTTGACAAGAAAACTATACTTGTCTTACATTTGCATCCTCTTTTTATACTATTTTAGAAAGAAAAAAAACGATATCGAATTATATTTACTTAATAACAAATCCCTTTCAAGAGTGGATTCCTAATAATATTATCAATGGCCGTCAATATGTCTTTGTCTTTCTAAAAACTAATAAATCCCAATGCCCTCGTGGGATGTATTGATTGGTTTGCCTTCAATATAAATCTTATTTGGGTCGGTCTTACCAACTATTACTTTAAACATATACAAATAATAACACATTCTTTGCATATTGCAACTTATATTGTTTCTCACGAGATTGATTCTATGCTACCATTCTATGAATTAAGTCCATAAAGAAGAAGCCAATCCCTTTGTTGAGACTCTTGAAAAAGCTTTTTAGATTGCTTTAAACTCTTATATTTGGCATCATCACTATCACACAAAACAAATTTAATTATAAGCAATAGATATATAGACTTTTTCATAATGTTATTAAAATATAAATACCTCAAAAAAATATATCTTTTGTCTTAGACAGCCAGCACGTGCGATCTCCTCTATAATCAATCATTGTTTTGGTATATGACACGTTTGGAAGACCTGATCAAGGCCGTCCATTTGCCCTCGCAAACAGCATAAAGCCGACTTTAGTGTTTTTTTTTTAGCAAAGAAGATACAAAGCAAAGCTATAAGAAGATTGAAGAGTATGGACCTTCACTTAGTGTTTTTGCAGGTTATTTTTTTTCTTTTCAATAAGGTCGTCACGAGAAATCAATTCTTTCATGAAAAGAGAAACTTAGCTCCTTACTTTATCAATACCTGATAATAATTAATATAAAGTATGTTGAAGTTGTCACATATCACATGACATGTGTTGCCATGGCATCATTACATTATTAAAAAATAATAATAACAACGTAACGTGATACATATACATTTCTCAACAAAAAATAACAACTATATATATATTTGGCTTTAATTTTTATTATAAAAATAAATCCTGATAAATGTACAAACCAAACTCCCTTTATATTCCGAGCTAAATACCTTAAAATGACGATTAATAACTACATACATGCATACAACGAAAAAAAAAATCACAAATCTAAAATAAAACTGCAATATGTATTAAGTCTCGTAAAATATTTAAAGAAATGGTGTTTATAAGAAAATAAATAAATAGATTGGGATTTTGAGATATGATAAGGTGTTTCTATTTCGGACAGCCTCGTCGTGCGGACTGGTCTTGAGGTTCTATCTCTTGCACAGACCTTACGTGTCAGGAAAGGGTTGGCTTACTCAGTAGCTGGTCAATCTCACTTAGATCAGCAGCATAGACAATTTCTAATGTTCTTTTTTAATTACGGTTTAATGCTCCTAATTAATTTAAGTTTAACTATAATCAACGCATTTTATTGCTAATCCCAAAAGTTCCTACCAAATGGATATTCCTAGATGCCTAAATTACAAGATTGGCCTTGTAGCCATGAATACGAGCTATGTTTGCCACGTGGAAATTTAACCAAAGGAAGTGGTATATTATAAAAAGAAAAATATCGGGAAAAAATATAATTTGTGAAACAGGTCTGTTCTATGTAATAATATATACTACTACCGTCTTAGCAAAAAGCAAATAAAACCAAAGGAAAGTGGTAGATGAAATTTCAAACTTATGAAGTTAACTCAAATCAAGGAAGTGAAAATAGTTTTTCACATAAACTAGTATTTATTTATATTATTTTCTCGTAAATTACCTGCAACATATGCAAAAGTATAATAATGATGGCATATACTATAAGGAAATGCCAAAAAATATACCTTATTTTAAATAAATATTAATACAATTTCATTAACAAATTTTCAAATTAATAGTAAATTTTTTATGTTTAAACTTCGTAAACTACACAAGGCTCACTTAGTTATAGGGGTAAATTCGGAAATTCAAAAAAATAGATAGGATATATAAAGGTCTCATTGTCGTCGTTATCTTTTTAAATCAAAACATTTTTAACCAAACAGAAAAACTCAGAACCCGAAGCTAAAAAACAGATTCATCAGATAACTCAAAAATAAAAATAAAAATAGAAAGAAAAAAAGACACATCAAACACATTTATATATATATTACATTTATCTGTTGCAGCAGAGAAATTTAATTATTACTATGGCGTTTGATGAAGATATGAAAATGGCGTCTTTCTTAAGAGAAGAAGAAGAAGAAGAACATCACTACTCGTTGTCAAGACTCTCCGTATGTTCCAACTACGACGGAGACGAAGCCGACGACGAACCTTCCGATTCCGACGAGAAACGTATCGGCGGCGGCGGAGGAGATAAGTCTATGGAGGAGCTAAATTTTTCAGATTCTGACAAAGGTTCAACCGGTTGTCAATCTCTTCCGGCGACACCTCCAAGACAGAGACGACGGCGAGGAGGAGGATATCTAGCGGCGAGTTCTCCTGTTTCCGGGGATAAAGCTTACGCTAGCGAGAACGAAGTTCGAAAGGAGAACAAGGATCAGAGGAGGAGGAGGAGGTTGAGAAGACCGGAGTATCCACCGTGGGTTGATAGTATGAGGAGGAGTGCTTATGTCGGAGAAGAACAGAGTGGTCACGGAGGAGGAGTGGTGGTAGTGACGAGGCCGATAGGAGGAGGGAGGCCATTGTGTATGGATTTAGGAGAAGTCAAAGCTTGTAAAGATTTAGGATTTGAGCTTGAACCGGGTCGGGTTTCGTATTCCGGGTCAACCATGGATACTAGTAGTGGCGGCAATTCTCCTATCTCTTCCAACCACCGCATTTCGAGTCCTGGTTTGTTTTCCCCTAACAAAAACAAAACCTTTCCTTTTTTTCTTTCTTGGCTCTTCGATTTTGTCTTTTTTTTGGTTGGATTTATATGCAACTAAAAATATCTAAATTTGAGACTTGAGAAAACCCTTTTGAACTTGCAAAATCGGGTGAAAATTACTTGTGTATATTTATGTGTCAAAACACGTTTTAATCAACTCATGGAAAAATATGATTTTTGTCACGATTTTAACTACTGTCCACTGAAATTATTAGTTGCTTAAAGTTTCATAATATACAGGGTTTTGTGTTGTGGTACCTAAATATGTGTTTGATTTGATATAATTTGTCAGGGGATGATCCAAAAGACGTGAAAGCGAGGCTTAAGGCGTGGGCTCAAGCTGTTGCTTTTGTGTCCACTACTCACCATCAACCTCCTTATGAACTATGATGATATGATCACTCGCATTCACATTTTTCCACTTCAGGAACATGAGGAAAAAAAAAGAAAAAAACTTCCAAACAATTTCGAGTTGCATTTTGAAAAATTCTTTTTTGGTTTTTCTTAAATTTTTCACAGATTTTCTTCTGTTTTTTTTTTTGTTTTTGTTTTTGTGTGTTGACGGTGGATAATTTGGCAATTGTTGTGGACTACATACATGTTCATGAGCCAAAAGTATAGCGAGTTACATATATAACTATCAGGTTTGATGATTGGCTTCTCCAGCATTGTAATATTCAACATTTTACATTATTGAAAAGAAGGAAAAGATTACTCTAAATTAAACTCGAAGGTGTACGTACTACGTACCAAAGAAAGAATCGTTTTTACTCCCAACAAGGGGAAGAAAAATAATGTTGTGTCTGTGTGTATGAGAGAGCTAAGAAGAAACGGATCTAGTAGCGACCACTGGATCTTGTGGCTCATCATCGAACTGATATTTGTTGTAAACTTGGAACAAGAGATCACGGCAAGGGACGGTGGCTCCAAGCTTGATACAAGCTAAGAAAGCGCCGGATAGTTTGCGGTGAAGGCTATATGCTTCATCTGGTGGTGGTGTAAGTCTATGTTTCAACATGGTTGCTCCTAAATTGGAGATGCTGGAAGCAATGTTGTTGGTTCGGAAAGCGTAGCCACCAGGTTCTGCAAAAGGAAGACCCACGATGAAACCGGCTTGGACATGAGCGTCTAGCATTACGTCTGATTCATCTCCCGTTAAGAACCCGAGCCTCCTCGACATTTCAATCACTCCTGCACTGTCTTTTTCTGCACATGCCATCACCTGAAAAAGACAATGTTCTCAAGATTCAATTTCAGAATATTCTACATGTGGGCGACAAGGCAAAATGTGAAATGGGGATTTTACCATTCGTAGATAGTCATCGACAAATTTCTTGGGGTAATCACGAGCTGCTCCAAAATCGATGAGATTGATTGTGTTTGTGGTTTCATTGTATAAGAAGTTACCCCAGTTCGGATCCGTCTGCATGAAGCGGAAGACAAAAAGCTCTTTCAATGTGAGCTCAAGCATCTTCCTCCCAACATAATCTCGTGTTTTCTGATCTAACAAAGCTACTTTATCAATGGGGATCCCTGTAATAATATGTTAATAGCAAAGATTAGTTCATCATAACATTATAACAAATCACCGACCAGAGTAAGCAAAATTGCAGTTACCAGATATAAGTTCTGTGGTTAGAATCTTTTTGCTTGAAATCTCATCTACCACAAGCGGAACATAAAACCCTGGAGTGTCTGAAAGCAAATCACGAAAGCGCTTTTGACTGACTGCTTCGATTTCATAGTCACACTCTTGCGCCAATTCTTCTTTCGCAACCTGCAAAAAACTCCATCATGAATCTAAAATAACCGACAAATTAATCATTTGTACTGTACATTGCCCAAAATTTTAAGGAGGATTATCAATTCAGTATATTTTCTTTTATGTTTTCCTACTATGAGTGTTTTGTCTATATCTTACATATAAAACCATGTTCTCAGGAACCTGAATTTATAGCATCATTAACGATAAGATAACAATACCTTTATAGCTCTGTCCAGAAAGAGTCCCTTTGGAATTAGATTTGTATAATTTAACAAGCGTCTGACGTTTTCGATATCACTTTCAATGCTGTTGGCAACGCCAGGGTACTGAATTTTCATTGCAACTTCTAATCCATCTTTAGTGACAGCTCGGTGAACCTAAAACATCATTAGATAATGGAAAAAGAAAAAAAGGATTCAATACATTCACAAGGACCAAGTATTACACACATTCTTCAATCAAAATACAATCGGAGAAACTAAATTAGTACCTGGCCAATACTTGCAGCTGCTATCGGTTCATAATCAAAACTAGTCAACTTGGATTGCCAATTAGGACCTAGTTCAGCATCTAAAACTGGATTAAGCTGGCTCCTTGGCATCACATCTGCACCTTGGCGCACATATTCCAGAGCGTTCAAAATCTACAAAAAAACCTATCTCCAAGTCAAAACATGGGATATCAAACCAACTCAACAGACAAAACTAGTTGACACAATCTATGGTATTTACCGGAGCAGGAACAAGACTCTCGTCCTGTATACTCAACATTTGGCCAACTTTAAGAGCAGCTCCACGCATTTCACACAATCCAAGAGCCAATCTCTCTGCATTTTCCTTAGACATTATAGACGATAACGCAGGTTGATTATCTTGTGTAGGTGGTGTCCCATTAACCATCCTATACGTAGATTCTTTAACAGCTCCCCAAGCAAGAGCGGCTCCTAAATTAAAAAACCTTCACAGTTCACAAAAACTCAACTTGTTAACAAAATGCTTCAATCATATAAATTCTATCTAACCTAACTAAGCAACGAAGTAACTGTGATTGAATTCAATACCCATAAGCTCTTGCAATAGGTGTTGATGGAACCTTCCGTTCTCTAAGCATCCGTCTCTTCACCGGAGCTTTAACTACCTCCGACGGAGATGATGCAACAGGAACTGATTCGGCAGCTCTAACTCCAATAACCTCGCCATTTTCGTCGCCTGAAATCTTAATCTCGCTTTCTGTATTTGAAATCTTAACTTCATCGCTAAATTCGCTTCTCAGGTCTCTCGAATCAACGATTTTCACGCTAGGTTCGGTACTATCAGATCTAATCTCAGACGTTACAACGACGCCATCATTGTTATCTTCTTCGTCGAAGTATACGACGGAAGGTTCCTTAGATCGACGAATCGAGAGCTCGCGAAGCTTCCCGGAGGTGAGTCCGACTAAGTCGGTGGCGGCAACCAAAGCTTTTTTACCTGAAGACGTAATTAAGCCTTCGAGATCTCCATTTCTCGCTCTCTGTAACTCCGGTGACTGATTACAGATCTCCTTCGCTACAAGAGAGAGGCCATTGACGAGCCTGCCAAAGCTCTTGGTCCACGAACTCATCACGAATCAATGGCGGCAAGTGCTAATCGTTGATTTGACTTTCCTGTTTTTGTTTGTATTCCATTTTCAGGAATTTGGTTTGAATCGTTTCGGAGATTTTTTTTTCCGAGAAAGTATTTATTAAGTATGTGTGTGTATATGCGTTAGACCACGAAGATCGGAGAGACGTCGACGAGGAACCGAGGTTTACGTGGGAAGACGACAGCCAGAAACTCCTCCTCCAAGGTTCTAGTTTCGGCCCAATTAACTCTTTATTCATCGTCACTTAAAGGCCCATTGGGTCAAACATAAGTCTTACGAAGTAGCTCAGTATTTTAAAGATATGACTAATCACATCAACTTATATTTTTCAGTTAATACCAAGTATGATTTTTATTCATATTAATAATTTGGTAATATATTATTGACTGTAACATGATTTTAATACGAGTTAATTTAATATATTTTTTATAATTATGATGAGTAATCAGAAGATATGATTTTTATAATTATTATGTCATTTAATATCTCATACTATTCATTTTAAAAATATTAGCTCTGTTAAAACCAAAGCTACAATATTACAAATTTACAATCTTCTTCCCAATGTGTCAAAATTTGACTTTGGGGAACTAATTCCAAACCTTGACTTGACCATTTATTGAGGATTCAAATCATTTTTTTTTTTGTCAACATTAATTCAAATCATAAATTAATATCAAAATTTGACCATTTTATTTTTGAGAATTTAAACGTTTTTTGGACTTCTTGGGATGAAAAAATATTGTGGAAATATGTTTGATCCATTGTGTAAAAGCCAATAGTTCAATAATATAGTTTTGTTGTCTTGGATAGAGTTAAACATAAACATTGTACAAATGACTGCTTGACATTAACAGTAGAAAATCAAGAATAATTGGAATATGCTTTTGATTATTTAATGTTGTAAAATGTAAGCGTTGATTATTTAATTATTCAAGTTAAGTATACAATGGCTGCCAAAAAGGAAAAGAAAAAAAAATGAAAGATATGCCTAAATACAATGCATCTCCACTCATAAGAAGACATGAAGAATCATCTTGGGAACTAATCACTATTAATAATCTTTCTCTAACTCATTCGTTTTAGGTTTTCTTAACGTAAAAGAATGGTTTTATTTTTTAACTTTCGGTGATATTAAACACCAATGAGCCAATGACAAATCTTATGGGGTATGAACCAATTTCGAATATAATATTTTGTCAAAGCACTAAGGCTTTGTCAGGATGGTAGGCAATATATAATTTACGCGAATTTAATTAAAAATAATGATACAGTGATTAGTTGGCATCATTTGTCTCTCTATATACATATATTTGAGATCTTCATAAAAAAAACATCTGAGAGCTTTGACAACAAGACGAAGAGAACATGTCCATTATTAGAGCTCAACAAGAACATCAAACAGCACTTGAAGGTACATAGTTTAACTACTCTCAATCTATTTCTTTCTGAAAGTTTTATACTATTTCAAATCTGCTTTACGTTAAAAGCTTTTGCTCATCTCTTCAAGATCTTGAGATCCACAATACTATACTTTAAGATTTTAACACAGCTGCGTTATATATGATGTTCTTCTATCTCACGAGAAAGCTTTCGCTTTCTTTTTTTTTTTTTTTATCAAGATTATATCATTTTGGTTCTACCGATCATATAAGTATATATAGACTTTTTACTTTTGTTTATTTTTGATATATAATCTTTAACTATCATCGACTTTTGTTTCTTTAGGTGAGAATCATTTGTTATTCTTATATTAAAAAGTTCGTTAGTGAGAGTATTAAGATTTTCCTTTTGAAGATCATTAATACAAGTTAATCTTAATTCGTTATGGTTTTGAAGATCATCAACCTTAAAACACAGCCTATAGGTTTCCCCCAATAGCTCATTTGGATCTAGAATTTTTTTTTTCTTGTATTTTATTTAATAATGGCAACTAAAGAGTCAATGACAGTTTAGTGTAATATAATAACTTTTAGTGGGTAACGAATTTTGGCATTTTGTAATATATATAGTTTACAGTGGAAGAGTAAATACATCATAATATCATATCTTAAAAAATAAAAAAATATATTATGTCACCAAACTTGAGGCTTTAATATAAAAATAATTCAAAAAATTTCTAAAAGGTTAATAGTTTCAGACTTTAACATAGAGAATACATTTATAAAATAAATTATCAATATGAAAGTTTTTTACTTATATAGTAAACTCGAATAAACTATAATTAACTAGTATAAAATTGAAGACGTTCAAAAAAAAAGTATAAAATAGAAGAACTAAAAGATGATAACTGTTTTTTAAAATAATGATATATATTGGATGTAAAATTGGAGATATAAAACATTATGAAAATTTTATAATATATATTTTTAAACAAAAAAATATATAGCTTATGTATTTTGAATGGGCCCGTTTCGGCTTTAAATAAAGGCCCAAATAAAAAGCCTATAGTTCAGAGGAAAGCCTTCTTTTACGCTTTCCAGATCTAGAAGAAACAATGCAATCTTCCCCGATCCTATTAGACTTCTCCCCCGCCTTTCACCACCCACGCGCCGCCGCGTTAGCCACTACTTCCGCCGTAACCAATTCACATCCTCCGACGAGAAAATTTCGCTCTCTATCCTCCTTTTCTCCTTCCTCGACACTATTAGCTTCTTCTTCTTCTTCTTCTTGTTCTTCTTCTCGTAGATGTTTCACCTGCCGATTTGGCGACGGTTCTTCGCGGTTCGATACGAGCGAGGATGAAAATGAAATTGAAATCGAAATCGATGATGAAGATGATTATTGTTTGACAGATGGGAAGACAGAGGAATTGGTAGGCGACGATGGAGTTCTCATAGAGGTGAAGAAACTCGAGAAGAGCTCTCGGCGGATTCGTTCCAAGGTTGGTATGGAAGCGAGCCTCGATTCGGTTTGGAGCGTATTGACTGATTACGAGAAGTTATCTGATTTCATCCCAGGCCTTGTTGTTAGCGAATTGGTTGAGAAAGAAGGGAACCGTGTTCGTCTTTTCCAGGTTTTTGCTTTTTGCTCTCAATCCAATTCCTTGATTTATCAATTGTAAAACTATGTAGCGAAGCATCTGTTAGAGTCGATAAGATTCTATTGTACATTGATCTCCTCCAACTTGGTGCATTGACTCTTACTTAAGCTTGAATTCGCTTGGTTTGAGTGTTGGCACTTACTGTGGTAGAACCAACAAGTTAATCGAGACAACTCCATTACTGTTTGAGCTTTGGTGGGATTCAAATTTGGAAACTTTGAGACTAATAAATTGTGAATCTTTCGTAGTAATTTGTAGTTTCCGTATTGGTAGTGTGTTTAAAATTTGGTCAAGTTTCTTGTATGAAACGTTCTCTGGCTTATCTGTTGTGATGGACAACACCAGTCTCATTCTCGGGTTTTGTGGTTGTTTTGATAGATGGGACAGCAGAACTTAGCACTGGGTCTTAAGTTCAATGCCAAAGCTGTTCTAGATTGTTTTGAGAAAGAGCTTGAGATTTTGCCACATGGGAGGAGACGTGAAATCGATTTTAAGATGGTCGAAGGCGATTTCCAATTGTTTGAAGGCAAATGGTCCATTGAACAAGTAATATTATATGAAATCCCTTTATAAGAACATATATTAACCTTTCCTTCAAGGCTGTTTTTGATTCTTATCTGTGTTTTTCTATGACTTAGCTTGACAAAGGGATTCACCAGGAGGATATGGATTTTCAGTTTAAAGATTTCCGGACGACGCTTGCATACACGGTGGATGTAAAACCAAAGATGTGGTTGCCAGTGCGGCTAGTTGAAGGAAGATTATGCAAAGAGATCAAAACAAATCTTTTGAGTATCCGAGATGCAGCTCAGAAAGTTATCGAAGGTGTTATTCATGATCTTTGAGTTTTCTCTTATACCAAGCTGAGGTAGCCACTTCTCTGCAGGTTAGAAGATATAGATACGATGAGCCTATATAGTTTCTTTTTGGTGACTTTTGAAAGGTTATGTAAGTGGCTTTATATACACATTGTTCTCAACTGTATATTCTGAATCTTTAAGCTTTGAATATACCAAGTTTTAACTCACACTTCAAACTGGTAACAAAAAGGTACTTTACCCAATAAACGAAAATTTTGGAGGTACACAATAAGACGAGTGAACTAATTCAAAAGTTTATAAATTTGGATGAACAAGAAATGCGGAAGTAAATTACAATAACAGGTTTACTTCAAAATTGTTTGCCCCAAATTTTCACTAAGGTGAGATTGAGAGATGTTACCGAAGGGTTCAACTTGATCTAGTACATTAGTGTGATTTGCAGAGTAGAAAATTGTAACAGATGAGAATCACAAGTTACTCTGTTTTTTGTTTCTTATAAACAGGGCATTCTGATCTAAAACAGAACACTCTGGTCTAAAAACATAGCATTTTCTTATAAGGTCGAGATCATCACAGTGCTATGTTTGAGCCACACTGCAGAGGAGGCTGAACATGAGTAATGAAAGGTTACACGAGATTACGGAAGAGCATAAAGCAAAGTAGTTTAAATTTTAAAATATCCTTTATATATGATAATAGTAAACATCTTCTTCCTGAAATGTACAAATACAATCATCATTGCATGAGTCTTCTCCAGATTATAAACTCTCTGGAAGCAAGATTATGATAAGGCTGTAAAACAAGCAGCTTATGGCAGACGACGATGATGCAACAGAGGAAGCAAAAAAAAAAACCCCAATGAAAGTAGTAAATACAAAAGATGGATAAGAACCATTTAAAAAAACCCGGTGTTAGTATAATTGATATCAGAAGTTGATGTTGCTCTTGAAGCTCTGACCAAACCGCCAGTTCGAAGGAACAACGTTGAGAGCTGCTTTGATTCTTCCATTGCTGAGTTGAACTTTGAAAGATAGAGATTGACCATTAAGGTAAGTGTTGCTCTGGAAATTAGCTCCCCAGTTTCTTGACATTGTCTCCCATTTGTTGCTCTTAGATCCTTTGATCCAAACTTTAGAGATCTCACCAGCTCCTGCTACGTTTGAGATGAGAACAAGCTCGAAATAGTTCCTACCGTTCATTCTAAACCTCATCCCTCCGCTTCTTCTGCACCCAACTCTTTTGTAAAGAATGGGGACGATCCCAGCTTTGTACTTGGCGATGGTGAGAAACGCAGGCTGAGCCATGTCGAAGTGTGGTCTCGGTGGGTTGCACCATCCTCCATTGTCGCTTGCCTGAGCAAAGTTTGGTGGACAGAAGTTTGTGGCAGTGATTGTGATTGATCTGCCTCTGAGACACCATTGTGGTACTTTGGTCGCGTCGCACACGATTTGGTAACATCCACCGCATGACTTACCATCGTTGAACAGTGCTGTGCTTAGCGCTGCAGTGTTTGTCTTGTAACCGTCTGTGTATAGGTTTCCATAACCACAAGCTCCACCTGAAGAAGATAAAAAGAGATGAGAGGGTTTCTTGACAAAGAAGAAAGCTTTCCTTTCTATAACAAAGAAATGAAATGTTCATCTCTAGTAGTTAATGAGAGACTCACCCATTGTACCAGAAGCATCACTACCGCCATAGAAGGTAGCATGAGCCTTCAACCAACCAGCAGAAACTGAGCTGATCGTCATGGAGAAGATCACTGCGACCAAAAGAGAGCAAATCTTCGTCATTTTTTTTGTTTTGTTTTAAAGTGCTTAGGTGATTAAACTTTTGCTTGTAGTATTGTAGTATTGGAGTATTGTAGGATGATAAGACTTGGGTAGGCTTCGAGCAGCTATTTATAGTAGATATCACAGAGCTTGTTTCGATTAAGATATATGTTATAAATGATTAATTAGATATGACTTGGAATTAGCGGTAAACGTTGAAAATAATAATATGATTTGGTGATGATTGAGATTCAATGATTATAAGAGTGCGAAAAATACGGAGTTTAGGCATTATGATAATTAAGTTAATCCTATAAGGGCATGTGAGTATGTGACTATACGTTAGTTGCTTTTAGTTTTTTTTTTCTTCATATATATTCTAACATTTTTGCTCTCTTTCCCTAAGTTTTATATTTGTTTTTCTTGTCAACCAAGTTTTATAAGTTTTTAATAATTTTTTAATAGCCAATGGGAGGTTTCAATAACGGGTAAAAAATGGCGTAATGTAGAATAATAATTAGACTAATGCAATAAAAATTAAAAACCAATTTTAAAACAAACAACTATTTCCAACCACTTTAACCAACCAAATTAGTTTTCTTGTTTTCTTCGATAAAACTTAAAAAAACGAAAAATATTATCAAGTGCAAGAAACAGACGTCCCGCAGCACATTAAGCTAATTAAGCATTTCTTAAATACAATTCAGCATGTTACATGTAATTGTGTGATAGCCTATATATAGTTCAATCATGTTTCTGCTATTGTTTTTAATTAAAACTTCTAATGCGTCTCGTGAAAGAAGTTAGCTATTATTATTACATCAAATTGTTTACAGTCAGTGTATGATATACGAATTTAGCTATTGCTTTTTTAAAAAATTTATTACAAGTTGTCTTAATAATATAATCGGCAATGAATGTAGAATTTGTATGAATCAAATTGAGGTTTGAGTTGAAAAATCAACGTACGACATGATCATGATCAAAGGTGATAAGTGCTCCTCCATTTACGCAAATTCCGTGGTACGTTCCAAGTTGCCAACTTACGTTGATAAATGATAACTTAACTTACATTATCTATTACTAAAAGTCTTCTGTACGTATATATTTTTCAAGTTAATTGTTTTAGAATTTATAAATAATTAACTTGTAAGTTGTAGTGTTATAGTCTTTATATTTAAACCGAACAAAACAGCAAAAATCTCTTTGTTGTTCCTTTATAAACAGACTAATGAACAATTCTTTAAGTTGATCTAAGTTGAGTTAAATATCTACTAATGTATATATACTTAAACAACAATACTTGACTTGTATTTAGTGCAGTTTCGACTTTTCAATTCATCTAAATATGCCACCCACAGTTTGTTAATTCATAATATAATAAACATAGTATTTAAGTTGGCTCTTCCAACCTACTAACTTTGAAATTTCGAAAAAAGGTCGAAGTCAAACGTTATAATACACAAAGTACGTTTACGTAACATTATCGGTTTGATCAGTGATAAATTATGAATAAAGATACCCTAATATTATGGCATATCTAATGGTATGTCCACGTACTTATCACATGGGTGATGCCGATGCGGGCTGATTCCATTTGATAAACTCACATCATCTCATTCACACATGGACCAACCACTCTCCATTTCTATGATTTTCTTATATAAATTAAAGTATTTAACAATCAAGTTATACGGAAATAACAACAAGGAATTAGAAAATTAAAGTACCAATGGTACTGTACGTATAAGTCTATCGATAAGGATAATTTATTAATTTATGTGTGAACCAAGGCTAAGCAATCATATTGATTCTTTACTTATGTAATAATCCAGTTTTGTTTTGTGATAGACCTAATGATTAATTGAATCACCGTCACCGTGTACGTACCGACCTAATTTATTTATCTTCAAGTTATATCATGCTTTGATGATCTATGGATTACATTTGATCGACTATTGATTATGTCAAAAAGGCAAAAACATTAATAGATTATTAGTTTCTGTTAAGTACAACTCTGTTGTCAACTACTTATATTTAATGATATGCATAATTACTACCACTTAGCTATAAGTTCCAAATTGTGTAATCCACTATTTTGAGATTTCCTTTTAGGGCCTTTTTAATTTATACAGTATACTAAAAGCTGAAAAATAAGTTATACATTTTTTAAGAAAACATGAAATTACGTAAAAACACTAAAAAATAGCGAAGAATAGTGTATATATGCAACGAAGTTATAAGTAAAAAAAAACCATATTTATATATATTGCGTGTGTTGAAGTATTTATTTCTATAAACATTTTCACAGCCAACCAGGAAACAGTTTCCGGTCACCGGAATCTTTTACCAGAACCAACAACCACCACAACATATACCTTACACACAACCTTTCATCTTTGCTATTAAACCGACGCCACATTTCCATCTTTGGATATTAAACCGACGCAACCGGAAGATCATTCGAACCGGCATCAACCTTAAACACATTCTTGCTTGAAGGCAAGCCAGCCACTGGTTCATCTTCAATCCCACATTCATTAGTTCCCCTCCTTATCATGAAATAACCATCCTGCAAATTTCATATATGTCAACATTCATGAAAGAAACCCAAATATCTATAGAGTTATTTGCAAATTCATTACAAAATTAACACTTACATCACCCCAGCCTCTGTTCCATTGATTTGCCAACAACTACAAACAATTGAAATAACAAACCAAAAACGTTATAAATTTCGGCTAATTTCGAATTTTTCGATATGATAATCTCGATATAACGTTTAACATTACCCAGTAATCTTCGCCTTCTTTGGTAGTTCCCCAACCAATAAGTTTAACAGCATGGCCTCCAATGTTAGCACCTGTTATGTGCTTATACACTCCAGATTTGTAATGAGCAAAATCCTAAATCAAAAACAAACCATTCATATAATCCATTTCTCCTTAGCTTTTTAGTCTACAACCTAAAAGATCATTGTCTTCATTACCTCATAAACGGTAAAAGAGACTTCAACAGGTCCATTCTTGTAAACCTCTGCCATGATGTCTTGTGGATTAGATTCAACAGTGTATGTACTAACACTGTAGTGCTTCGATTCGCTCCATAGTTTGTTATCGCCAACGCATTTCCTCGAACATTTCGGTGTAGGATATGCTGGTTCACAACCCGGGTGAGAGCATCCAGTATTATCAAAGTATGGATCACACTAACAAACCAAAATAACATCTCATCAAGAAAAACTTCAAACTAAATCAATTCAAGATTTAAAGATTTAAGTGAGACATTACCTCTTCAGTGACAACACCGCTATACGAAAAGTATTGCCAAGCAGCAACTGGGTAGCCACCATCACAACCATCACCACAACGGAATCCACAACAAGCTAAGAGATCATTTACTGATAAAGTAATGTTCTAAATTGGAGAAAAAAACAAACAAATTAGGCTTTTGGACTGTTAATCTGAAGTTAAGTCTTTAAAATTGTGAACTAGTATTATTATTACCATGCCAAATTGGATACAGAATCTATCAGATAGTGATTCAACAGCACCAAATGCCCAGCAAGAACCACAATGTCCCTAAACCACAACCACAAATCTCATAAAACCGGTTTTTCTCCAATAGGTAAATCTAAAAGTTCCAAAACACAAAAGAATGAAACTTTACCTGATCTGTTCATAGAGGAGTCAACACAAACACACACATACACACAAACCAAGAGTTAGTAAATGCAATTGAACACTAAAATTATGGAAAACAAAAAGCTAATACCAAACCTAAGATCTTTCCAATACTGGTGCATTGAGGCCAATTGGCTCTAGCATCAAAGTCTTTAGGTAGCTTCAAAGACGGATCATGGCTTACAATAGGAACACCTAAGAAATGCTTCTTTGGTGTTGGCTTAACACCAAGAAGACGTTTAAACTCTGCAACCTGCAACATACACAAGTTTCTAAGAACACATCATCATATCTTATTTGTGTTGCTCTTAATTAATAGAGAGATTTAGAGATCTTTACAGTGGCGTTTGAAAAGCGATCATTTATAGCAGCTTTCCATCCAGCGTTTGGGTTCTGGTTGACTTTCTTCACAATCTCATCCTGTGAGGAAAATAATCAAAAATCTTGATTACTAACAAAAATCAAAAGAACAGAACAAATTACAAATTGATCAAGATTTTGATTGTCTTAATTACAAACAGAATTCAAACCTGAAGTATCTTCGAGTTCAGTTTCTGTTTGGTGAGATTTTCAGCTGCTATGCCCTGGATTAAGACAAAACCCAGAAGATTTTAGTCAACAAACGGACAAAGTTTGGATCTTTCTTTGTCTTAATCTTTACTTTTTCTAGACAATAAAGTTTGGCTTTTTAAAAAAAAAAACATACGCAAACATAATTGATCAACGAAACTAAACAATTTCAAAGATAGATCAACTTGGATCTAAACGAATCCTAGTACCAAACTCCATAACTTAAGAGAAATAAGTAAGAGGTAATTATGAAAGTTACCTGCAAGTCAAAAGCCAAGACGAGCCCTAAGAGCAAGAAAACAGAGGCCAAACAGAGTTTGGTATTGTAAACAGCCATGAAAACAGAGTTTTGCTCTTCAAGGAATCCAAAACCAAAAGATCTCTTTGGGACAAGTAAAAACCTCAGTGGTGGGGGAATCTCCTTTACTTTATAATACCAAAAAGAGAGAGAGAGAGAGTGGCTTATCTACTGCACAATGACACAGACATTTCTTGGGAAACTGAATCAGCCAATGACTATTATTTCCAATGAGCCAAAAGAAGATCTTAGCCGTTGATTGGTGCAATCTACAGAATTTTAGGCCGTTAGAGGTATACATGATCGCCACGTTGCGTCATTACTCACTACACATCGTTCGTAATATCTTATGGGATTGGAGTTGGACCCTTTGTTACGAAATCGCTATACCAACTCGGCAAGTTAACAAATAACAACCACTAATCATTAAAGTTTACATACTTTGTAGCTCAATTTATCCTAGAAGTCAAATTTAATTTCGTTCTTGATTTACCAATACATCCTAGCTAAACTTCTAATTTATCTAACGAGTAGGGTTTTTACACTTTTATACTCACAAAGTTTTATTCCAGACCATGGCAACAGAGTTCTTACAAGTTACATACTTATTATATGACTAGACAAGAAAGAATTATTATTAGTGATAATAAAATTCTCAACTAGAATGTGATTACAAGACATCATTAGTGGTGGGAATTGAGGTGAGCTTTGTCGAGACAATTGAAAGCATTGGTGTAGGAGACAAAGCCCATGAACCAAAACTCAAACCCATCTCGTGTCACCATATGCACATACCTCTCACTCGGCTTTAACACGTTCGATGATGAAACAATGCTACTTATCTTCTCCAACTCCATCACCACCTATATCAGCAGCACCAGCATAACATTTGTAGCATTTAGAAAACAATACCTAAAGGCTAAGATGCCAAAGATATAGTTTTTGATGTTCCAAAACACCATAAGTTTTAGACAGTTCAAAAAATACCATTGAGAAACCCTTCTTGACATTTTCTCAGATGCTTTGTAAATGATATTGTGGTATGTTTGAACATTTTGAAAATAATGGTATTTATATACAATTAGAATTTTTGTATGGTAATTGCGGATACACAACATCTTGCAATTACTTGGTGAGATAAACAATGCAAAGTATATATACATAATTTAGTTACTAATCAGCTTACACCAAATTATTATTTTCTTAATTCTTTTTAAAGAACATGGAAAACAAATATTTCACAAAGACAATTTGAGTTACTAAATCTTTTTATAATGAACAAACATTTATCTCTATAACCAAAAAAAAGTTTGAAACTCGTGTGGTCTAACCTTGTAATATGCGGGAACAACATTTCCACCGGCAGAATAAGGAAGACGAATTGCATAGTCGCTACAGAAAGCGATCCTTCTGTTGGAAACGTATAACGTTCCGGTCACTGGTCCAGTAGTGGTTGATATGTAGCAAACAAACGAATCCAAAAGTTTCTCTGCGGCTAACACACCAAACTCTCGTTGAAACACTCTCCCTGGTCCTCCTTCAACAATCATCTTAGTGCCTTGAGAAAGCCTAGCCATTGCTGCATCACTTATGCTAGGACTAAACTTAACTGTTCATGTCCGGTTTCATGCATATATAGACCATATTTTATAGTTATAAGAAATCGGAGGATATGTTCTAATATGATCAAGAATTATATAAGACAAGATATTTATAAAGGCTCACGTACGGTGGTCTTTTAAACCGCCGGCTAATGCTTCTGCTTTGCGAGTTACGCCCTCTATTTTCTTCCCACAACAATTCAACACCTCAAGAACCTTATCCTTCGACCCTAGATAGATATATATCAATCAAGATTTATCATCCTACATTATTAAATTTATTTAAAAAGACTAAGAGAGCTATAAGCTTAACTAAGACACGACACGAAACATCATTTTCTAAACTTACTCTTATCAGAAGCTGAAGTGGGAGTAGTACTCTTGACGTAAGGATTGTTATAATCACTGCCATGGCCATTATTGGTTTTGTGATTAGTCGCCGTCGCGTCCTTGTATTGTGGACTGATCATGATATAACCTAATGATGTAAAAGAGACATAGATGCATACGACGTTAATATAGAGGGAGAGAGGCCCGTGGGTTGTACGCTATCGTACCTTTTATTCGTTGCTTTTTAAAGGACTCGGATAAAATACAGATTGATTCTTTAATGTATGTGTGTATGGTGTAGATTAAAGGCACTGTAATTATTCCTTTGAAGAATAATGAGATACATTTGTATTATATATTATCTTGCTGGAATAATGAATAATGTCTTTTGACTTATTAAATTTTTAATAATAATTTGATCAATTAACAAAATGGTGAAAATTGTTAGAAGTTAAGTTAGTTGGCCAAAAAGGAAACTTTGAAATATTTAAGGGACTTATTTAGATATATAATAACTATATAGGGTATTTAAATTAGAAAAATAATTATTTTTCCCAATCGTCTTCTTCTTCTTCTTTTTCTTCTTCTTCTTCTTCTTCAATTGCTTCGTCTCTCGCGGCCACAATTGCTCACTGAATTGGAAAGCACAGAGAAAGTTTTCGAAGGAGACAATCATTCGGAGATGTCTTGGAGAGGAGGCCGAGGAAGAGGACGAGGTGGGTACGGAGGCGGTGGCGCTGACTATGGCAAAGTTGAGCCTTTTGTGATTTTCCCTGTAAGTTTCAAAACTTCTCTTCAATTTGGTTTTGCCCTCCAAAAAAAATTGATCTTTTCAATTGCTGATCTTACGTTTGTGTTGATTCTTTGTTTTTATGGGCAGGAAATTACGTTACCTGATCCCAAATCAATCACATTAGAGTCAGAATTACTTAAAAGCAACAACAAGTTCAATTATTTTTGGGTAAACTCTCCTTATCATTTAGGCGATGGTGTTTCAACGAAAGGTATTGTTACTTTGAAGTTTCTTTTGTTTAGTTTCTCTCTTAAAAGCTAAGAGCTTTTTTCTCAATGTTTTTTACTATCATGTCAGAGAATGAGAGTTTTGACATTGAGAGGTACTCAGACTCGTTGAAGCCGAAGATTAGTTCTAATAAGAAGGGATCTTTCTATGATTTTCTTGTTCTTAGACCTGATAACTTCCCTAAAGAACTTCTTGGAGGTTTGTTTCGATTAGATTCATATCTACACTTTTATGCGTTTTAGATTCGTCTTGTTGTCGATGTAATTGTTGATTTATTAATGGTAATGCGACTTCAGATACTCGAAGAGAACGGCCTGTGAAGAGAGTTAAATGGAGTCAAGAAGCAGGTACATTGTGTTTTATTTGTTTTTTAATATCAACAGTGTAATAAGTATCTCAAGATCATGCTTTTTGTTTTGCAGATTTGCAGAAACTGGATGTGTTTGAAAAGCTTGAAGCTAAGTTTAAGGTATGAAAAAGACACTTTTCCAGTAAAACCGTTTTTTGGAGCACTTCACAGTAACATTTTTGAGTTTTGTTTGGTTAGGCTGAAGGCAAGGAAGAGAAAGAAGAAGGAGAAGATGATGAAGAAGGAGAAGTATCAGAGGGAGAAGACTCTGATAACGGAGATTATGAACAGGTTCTACTTGTTTTCCAAATTTTAAATACTACAATGAAACACTGTGATTTTTCTTCTTAAGTTGCTTAAAAACTTTCTTCTTAAATGTTTTTTTTTTGCTTTTGTAGAATCGAGACTTTGATGATGATGATGACGATTATAATCAGGTGGATGATAATGAATGTAAGCATCAATCTTTATTCTCTGTTTCCTTACAAAGAATAAACGATTCTAACTAACTTTGTTTCTCTTGTTCTTGTCAATAGTTGAAGATGTTTATTAAGCTCCCTCTGTTTCCGAAAAGAATAAAGTTTTGCAGACAAGAGAAGCCAAGCCTGTCCCAAGCTTTAGTTTTAGGTAAAACTCTAAAGGATCGTAGTATTTATTTGTTTCGTTTCCTTGGTTATTATCATATTGGAACCATCCGTCTAAGAATACAAAATTTACTATCAGGCTTACGAATTTCTGTTCTTTTAGTATCTTGATATCCGAATTTGATTGAAAATTGTGCAGCTTTATGTACTCGCATACACTTATTCATGATAATGTCTCTATAAAAATTCTTCACTCAAGAAATTACTATTCTTCCATGAAGTTAGTAAATCATCTGTATTATAAGAGATAACAACTAGGCATATAAATAGTGTTGTACATTTTGGACAAGATGTCTCTTTCGTTCGACTAATAATTCAATTTCAGACGAGTTCCTGAAGTTAACAGAGCAAATCAAACTTTTTCCTCCAAGGCTTTTCACTTCTTGTGTGATCATAAAAAGATTGCTGCATTTTGTAACCTCGTAGTTTTTCTTAATTCCAGCTAAAACCATTCAAATCGTACTGTTTCTAACACGTTCTGCCATACTTTTCGTCATGTGTATTAAGATTGAGCGTTGTAAGGGTACATGTTTTGAGATTGCATATCTTCACCATTCTCGTTGATTCTTTCTTCTGTCTACTCACTGTTGCTGTTGCTCCCTTCTGTGTAAACGTAATTTCATTCCTATTGACAATCTCTTAGTGCTTCTTCTTGAAGATGAGATTCTCAGTTCTGCGTTATTAACCATTGTGGAAAGATAGAGCCTGTTATGATTATCAGTGAGGCCTTCTTCTTATGCCCATGTGAGCTTCATTCTGTGGAAGAATGGCTCTTCCATTATGTCTTTCTGCTCTTTAGTTGAATCTTCTTCAATATATGTTCTTAATACCAATCTGTTCTTCAGCATCGTTGGGGCTTTCTGGGTTTCTTCACCTTAGGTTAGGCAACTGTTTAGGGAGGAGTTAGGTTGGTAAGTTGTTTGCATTTGTTGATTCTGCAGGTCTTATGGTTCTACGAAACTTAAGTCTGAGTATTCTGCTGACACTTTAGATACTAATTCTGAGAGTTGCTTTTGTTGCTTCAATTCCAGCTGCACCTAGGTTCTGTCGTCCAAGAGTCGCTTGTTCTTTTTCCAGACTTGATTACAGGTACAATCCTTGAGCCTCTATCCTGAGCTGCAAATTTTGCTATACCTGGCTCAGTCTAAATGCTATAACTAAATGCTATGTTCTTCTCTCTGTTTCTATATGGTTCTTCTAGCCTCTACTGATGCTTTTAGACTTGTGATTTTCACTGATTTATGTGTTTCTACATGTTTGAGTATAAGTTTGTAAATATGTCCCTATTCGAAGATAACTGAACAACACACATTTTATGAAAGTTTTTCATATCCTGTTCACGAGAGTTTGTGAATCAGATTCGTCTTGTTACGACAAATATAGGAAAAAAAAAATCCAGACAATTTTGTTACCAACACTGTCGCTGCTTTAACAAGAGTGATTTTCTTAAAAAGTAGAAAAAGCCATATTTTTACATGCTCTGCTGCGGTCCATCGTTTAACTTCTTTTTTTTTTTTTTCTGCTCCAGGGGAGAGGATTCTTCTACCATGGTCATCACACCTAAACCAGGTTACTTTTAATTACTTGAAGCGAAATTTCTTGAACAAAGGAAAATGGATTTTTAGAGTGAAGAATCTGTTTTTAATAGTCAAATCTTTTGTTATAGTATAAACAGATTTTTCACTTCTTGACCTATCGTCATATTTGTGCCACTTTAATATACTTATACCAAGCGAGTTGATGAGCTGAGTATAAATAAAACTTGATGAGTTTAGGTATATGTTTGTTAAAGTCTTGATGGCATACCGGAAGATGACTTTTGAGGTGGTATCAGGTAAGGTCAAAGTATACACATTAATATGACATGTCTAAAAGCCTGATTATCAAAGCTGGTTTCATTTGCCAATAGCTCAACATACTATCTCCTCCTCTATGCTGGCTGACCTCTTTATTAATTGAATAAGAGTTGCATACAGTCATGACCTTACATAAGGTGGATCTTTAGATCTGAGTTTCCTCTTAAATATCAAGTGTATTTAGCTATTACATTTGTTTTCCATGGATGCAGAGAAAAATAGAGGTTGAGGCATAGTGATGTTGAAAACCGCCATGATTGCCTTTGAAGGTATTTCTCTGGTCACTCTCTTTTGTGCAGTTATGTTGCTATAGAAAGACCTGAGCTCAAGATCCTTCACCGCAAGTGTTTGATGTTTTGTTATCATCGAAGTTTCCAAAGGAATTGATATACGACGCTGCCATGAGACACATTTGGCTTGATAATATTGCTGCAACTTACGATAATGCTGGAGTTTATAGTCAGACTGAACAGTAAGTCCAGTGAGGAAGGGTATATTGGATCTATGAGATGATGTAATATCCTGTGATCCCACATCTCTCCCAACATGTAATCATGGCTACTAAACATGTGTTTGTAATTACATCATATATACTTTTGCTGCAGATATTGTAGATACTGCAACATTCTCCCATCTGAAAGAGTACCCTTGTTCGTAAATTATTTAGCTAATTGAAGTGAAAGCTTTGGCAAAGAATATGATTTAGTTTCTGATCCCTGTTTAGGACAAAACATGAATTGGGCATTTATATTCATTTGAAGCCAATTCCTCTCCACATCAAAGTAATCTAATCAGAAAACAAAAGAACAAAACTTGGATGAACCAATTCAGAAGAGATATTCGAATCAACCCATTAAAAGGATAATTTGATTTCAGGGCGAAAAAAGGAGATCTTTTTCACTCACGAAAACTGATTCGGGTTTTGTTATAAGCCTCTGTCTGAACCAGAAGGTGTTCCTATATTTCACCTTCTCGTTATTCGGAGGCTAAAGGACATAACACGTATACATAGCATATATGTACGAACTCGAAAACTGATGTCTGAAACTTTTTGAGGAAGTAGCTTGAGTTTAAAGTCAAAACAGAAGCTTCTCCACGAAAACAAAAAGCCACAAGTCAAAACAATACAGAAAAGTATTGATGATCATGTTGATTTGCGCCTCCTAACTAAGCCAAGATATGAAATTGCCTAAAAACTTAGGGTTCATAAAGCTACTCAAGGAGGCAGATTCATCCCCACAAAAGAACCCCACACAAACATATCAATGAAAAAATAAGAACAAAGAAACAAGAACAAAAAGACTTTAGACTAAGAAGATGATGAGTTTCGAAGAGAAGAGTGGCGCAACCCTATATATTCCACTCTGTTTTCTAGGGTTTTTAATGGTGTTGGGCTTATGACTATTTTGCCCTCTCTAAATAACCGTTTTTTTAATTTGGTCTGGTTTTCAAAGCCCACTCATTTTTTTTTATCGCCAACAAATATTATTTTTTCTTTGGGTTCAGATCGATAAAGTGTGGTTTCGTACTGTCTGTAGTAGCTTAGCCTTCATGAGTTATCATTGTGATTTAACATTATACTGTATATGCAAAGTGTATAAACATGTTATTTGAGCCATAAGATATAATTAACCATGAATCAGCTTATGATTTTATTACATTCTTATGTAACTTCTTTGAATCAAAGCTTTGGATTCATATCTACTAAGACGTATATACAATTGACTTATCATGTTTACTTTGATATCAATACTTTTATCAGCACAATTATTTTTGTACCGAAAATGTTTGTATAAGGTGATTGAGTACGACTGTACAAGGATATAAAGTCGTTAATTCAAAGTTTATATGAAGATCTTAATGTTAAAGTTGGTATTATAATCTTTAGAAGCCACACGATTTTACTAATTTTCGGTATCACCGTTCGTATTACCATGAAAGTTTTGATGACATAATTTTCTATAAAACGAATGAGCGATAAATTTATTTACTTCAGTTTATTTTAAGGGAACTATATTTCATATACTCAATTGATTTTTTTTATTAAGTTTGTAACTTTCATCTTTTAATATTTAGCTCATTATTTAGCTGATGATTTTGTCCCTATATGGTAATAGAGTAGGATTTTGATTCACTGATTCATTATCCCTATACGTGAACCAAAGAGCAATAAATTTGTCATGATTGGAAAGATGTTGAAGACGCTTGGGAAGATGTTAAAAACTATGGTTACCATGTATATATGAAATTATTAAAATATTTAATATCTTATTCGAGAAAAAGACTCATCTAATGGTCAGAAACAAAACTTCGGCTACTCCACCTGGTAACTTGAGGATAGGAGATAATTTTTAATTGATCGAATATTTAATAATTTAGCATGCTAAATTTCAATTTATCAGATATTGAATAAGTTAGCATGCTAAAATATTAATTTAATTAATATTTTAGCATGCTAACTTAGCACGTTAATATAAATATTATCCGTATAATAACTATTTTACCATGTGCATATACATATTATTCAGATATTTAAATATCTTCGCACATAATATATCATCAATGATGAATAATATTAGTATTAATTTAACAAATAATATGTAAGTTATCGCGATAACAGTTTATTTAATTTATTGAATGTATTCCCCTAGATATTATCAGAATATGTGCAAAGAGTCATTATTATATATTTTTTTTCCAACACAAAATAAAGACTTGCATGTAACTTCATTTAGGAAGAAAAAAAGAACTAATTATAATTTTATTGAGTCCTAACTTTTTATTTTCGATTCTAATAGATCCACATTTTTAACAAGCCCTTATTTTAACATTTCCAATGCTTTATTCTAAGTCTTTTCATAGTCTTATTGTTTTCGCTACTATATTCACTACCTTCATTTCATAAAAGAACAATATCATGTCAAACAAAAATAATAGGTGATGTTAAACAAAACTACACAAACCACATTAAAGTAAAAGAAAATTTATGTAAAGGCAAAATTAATCAAACCTCATGCTTGTTTATTAAACCATATATATTATGTTCCAAAAATTCTATAAAGTATAGTAATTCTTTTTCGAGAGAAGCCACATTAACTACTTTGAGATCCCGAACCTCTTTTAAACTTTCAATACTGTATCTAGCTCTTTGATTGCTTACACATAAATAAAATCTGTTTTAATATCAAACAAATATAAAATAAATAAATATAAGATTAATTAATATAAGATTATTTTGACGGGAAAAGAACTACAATTGCTTACGCTGATCAAAGCCTTGTGCACATTGTGAAGTTCATCATTTATGCAGAGAGATTGGTGGACTGCCTCCTTTATTATTCTTCTAACCAAGTTCATGTTGACATATGACATTATCTTTAATATTAGGATGATTATATATATATATATATATATATTATAATATGAGTACAATTGGTTAATTTTTTTTTTTGTCAAAATGATTTGACTTTATATATATAATCTCAAAATTATTTTGGTTAATTACACATATACTCTAATACTATCAAGATAAACTATAAATTTTCTATACTTTAATATAAGATATACATTATATATCAAGAGTAAAACACCATAAGCTTACATGATAGTAATAGGGTAACATAACAACACATCACATTCACATATTCCTAATAAACACAGAATAATAAAATATAAAATATAAATGGAGAAACTTTTACAATTTAATTTTTCTTTACATGCTTTGGAGTTTGGACACTTGGACTTGATTTATAAAGAATTTTGATTTTGTTCCCAATATTATTTGCTTTTAGTTCTATATAAATAAATTGAGATAGTGAATTATAAAATTCTTAATAAGTTATATTTGTTATTGGTCACATACCTCTGTTATTTCATGTTTGCTTAATTGCTTCTTCACTTGTTGACTTGGTGCACACCGTGTCCGTGTGGTTCTCACACGGTTTTGAAGACAACAAAAAGTTCATATGTCTAAAGCTAAAACGGCACGAAGTTCTATTCACCTTTTCTGAGTTAGAGTTCGCCACATGGGAAGCCAACTGTAAAAGCATAAGCATGCGCGCTGTTTTATTTTTTTCCATTTGTTGGTAGCCGTTGATACCAAACTGTTCCAACACATACACTAATATTTAATTAATTAATTTTATAACATTCTTTTCTTTTTCTTTCCATCTCAAATTCTCAACAATCAATAAATAAAAAGTTTCCTTTTTTTTTCTTTCAAATTAAATATATATAGTCTTACTTGTCAAAGATTTTTCTTAATTCTTTTTTTTTTTTTCTTCTTTTTGTTTCTGTCTCCTTCGTTGTTTCCTTTCAGGAAAAGAGAGGAAACAGCGTTCTTCTCAGATTCTTAACCTTCTTTAAGGAAAACCCAAAAAAAAAAAAAAAAAAAACCCAAAAAAATAATAATCTCGTATTCAGATTTTAGGGTTTCTGACAGATTCTCCGGCGAAATTCAATACCCAAATCTCGGCAATGTCGACGATCTCGCCGTCATTGGCCGTAATTTCGTTTCTTTTTCTGATTCTTCTGAATCTTTCTTTGGTTACCGCTGACCCTTCGACGGAGACTGTTAAAGGAGGAGCGATTATGTTACCTTCGGAGAAGATCAACGGCGAGTTTTGTGAAGGAACGGTTAAACCGGCTTCATGTCCGGTTAAGTGTTTCAGGGCTGATCCGGTTTGCGGCGAAGACAGCGTTACTTACTGGTGCGGTTGTTCAGATGCTTTGTGCCATGGTGTTCGTGTCGCTAAACAAGGAGCTTGTGATGTTGGTAATGGCGTTGGGTTGTCTGTTCCTGGACAAGCTCTGCTTTTGATCCACATTGTCTGGCTTATGCTTCTTGGGTTCTCTATTCTCTTTGGCCTCTTTTAAAATTTTTCGTTTGAATCATTAGAGATTGCAATAGGTTTTGAGATTGCAACTGATGAATTCTTTTGTTTATAATCTTTTAATTTTGCTCTGTATTGGAAAATTACATTTAAAAAAAAAAAAATTATGAGGAAGGATCATTATTTGGTTTGTTTCTTACAAAAGAAGCCTTTTCGAATCTTGCTTTCTCTATCTCTTTACCAAGATAATCCAGGATTGTATCGGTTACATGATTAGGCAAACAACCTGCGTCTAGCATCATCTTCAAGTACTTGTACGCTTCTTTCAATTTCCCTGCTTTGCTGTTCACTTCGATCATCGTGTTGTAACTCACAACGTCCGGGTTTATTCCGTTGCTCTTCATGTGCTCAAACAGTCGTGTTGCTTCATCCAACCGGTTTGCTTTACCGAGAGAGTTGATCAAGGTGTTGTACATTACAATATCTAGGTATCCTCCTTGCTTTGTGAGTCTGTCGAGAACAGCGCTGGCTAAGTCGGCTCTACCCATTTTTCCTAATCCATGGATTATTACATTGTACGTTGCTATATCCGATGCGCAAAAGTTCTCACCCATTTGATCAAGTACTCCACGGGCGGTTTCGAAGTAACCTTTTTTGACAAACGAGCTCATCATGGAGTTGTAGGTGTAACTCGTAAGATCGGTTACACCCATTCCTTCGAATATCTCAAACAATTTGCAGGCTAAGCTGAGATCACCTTTGGACAGATAGATAGATAGAAAGGTGTTCATCATGTCTACATCAAAAGAATCTGGCTTTGCTTCAACCCTCTGCCCTCTGGCTAAACCAAACAAGGGATTAGGTCGACTGCTCTGGTGTGCTAATTGGTCCATACAAGGAGATGATGACCAGGGGTCATCTTCCATAGGTGATACTTCCTCATCCCTAGCTCCATCATCTTCCGAACTCACCATGTTCATGATATCTAGGAAGCTTCCTTTACTTGGAAACATTGAAGTGTAATCCTTATCTTTGTTCTGTGGACGTTTCAGCGAAGCTTCCACTCCAGCGTTCCATCTGAGAACATTTGATACCAAGTTTCCTTCTCGTATGTGCTTTATTAGCTTCTCTTTCCAATCCCACCTCCCTTGCTTGTGAAATCCGATCAAGAGTGAACTAATTGTAACCAAATCCACAGTGAAACCTCTAGTTTCCATCTCCTCTACCAATTTTACTGCTGCTTCTAGATCCCCTTCCTTGCAAAGCTGTAATACAACAATGCTAAAAGTAATGGCATCGACAAACTGACCCTTTTTCTTCAAGTCACAAAACAGAGTAAACCCAGCCTCTGCCCTACCGCTCCTAAAAAGCCCGTCAATTAGGATATTGTATGTCCAGCAGGAAGCTCTAACTCCCTCTTGAACCATCTTCTCAAACAGCTGACAAGCCTCAGTGACTTTTCTTGCTTTAAGTGTCCCATCTAAGAGACAATTATACACAATAGTATCAGGGACAAACCCGTTATACTGCATCTCACCAAAAATCCTCATTGCATCATCCATCCGGTAAGATTTACAACATCCTTGGATCAGTATACGATATGTCGAATTATCAGGCTCATGGCCAGATACTTTCAGTTCGTCCCATACAATCAAAGCATCTTTTGCTTTTCCAAACAAACACAACACATGAATCAGGCTGTTATATGTGCATATATCTGGACCAAAAGAAGACCCAGAGACTGAGCTTTGAACTTTCATCTCCTTGAACAAACTCAATGCAGCATCCAAATCTCCCCAACAACCAAATCCATGAATACATATGTTATAACCCCATGTATCAAACTTAAATCTTTTTACTTCCCTTAACTTTTCAAATACCCTTTTGAACTCTGACCTCATACCAGCTCTTCTTAAACCTACCAAAAGCTCATTAACAGCAACCGTTCCAGGAAGATAACTTACAATAACCCCACCAGTACCATCACTATGGTTATCAGAAGCTTCTAAAAGCTTAAAGAAAATAGACAGAGCAAGACGCATTTCATTTTTCTTCACCAGAGCAACAAGAACAGAATCATATAAACCAGGGTTTAAGCAATCTCCTAATTCCTCCATGTAATCCAAAACTCCTAACGCTGAATCGAACTTACCCGAACGAATTAGCGAATCTAGCAATACCTTAGCCATCGTCTGGTCCAAATTAACACCATCGTCTTTCATTGAACCAAGCAAATCGGGAACTTCTCCGATAAGTCCTGTCCGGCAAACAGTACGAAATATCTGAGAGTAAGCTGATGCTGAATGTTTATATCCCGGACGGAGAGAAAAACACCATCTAAAGAAATCTAACTTCTTCGAAGAATCTATGGAGCTTCTACGAAGGATCTGGAGAACGACAGATTCCGAAATCGGAATCGAATTAGCGTCGAGGCTCCGTGTACCCGACTGAGACAAGGTCTTGGAAAGAGAAGCGACGAGGAGGACATTACAAAGCTGCGGAAATGGTGAATTTTTCGCCGGAGATAGACCGGAAATTGCAGCTGATACGGCGCTTCCTCTTCCATGTCGCATCGCATAGTGACCACTGAGAAACGAAACTAAACACGGCGGCGTTTAGCACCGATCATGAAACGTTTTCGTATAATGTTTCTTCAAGGCCCAGGCGTAAGGCCCGTTTATGATGGGCCAAAGTTAAGGCCCACTTATAAAGGGTTTTCAATTTTGAGTCGATAAACCCTAAAGGTATCTCCGTCGTCTTCATTCTCTCCGCTTCGCAGTTTCATCGATTCGTTTCTTCGTCGGCCGTAAAAAATGGGTTTCAAGAGGAAGAAAGGTGACGGTGATGGTGAGGAAATGGAATCAGAAGGTCGTGGAAAGCCTAGTTTCAATGGGGGAGAGAAGAGGCATGTGATACTCCCTTCGATGATTAAGAACAAAGATAAGAGATCTAAAGTGTATGCAAAGCAGAAGCATGAGAAAAAATTGGAGAAGCAGAAGAAGATTAGAGAGCGTGATGCTGCTGAGAAACGAGCTCTTGAGCTTGGTGAGGAGGTACAAAAATCTGAATAACCTTTTTTTTTTGGGGTTTTTTTGAATTTTTGAGATTTTAAATTTTGGGTTTTTTCTTGTTGCTTTGTAGCCTCCACAAAAGATGATTCCGAAGACGATTGAGAATACTAGAGAAGCTGATGAGACTGTTTGCAGACCTGACGATGAAGAGGTATGTTTAAAGTTTTAAGTTGTTGATTTATCTCAAAATTTGAATTCCAAGTCATTGAGTTGTTGCTTATTAGCTGGAATTGAATTTTGTAGTTGTTTGCGGATATTGATGCTGATGAGTTTAATCCAGTCTTGAGACGTGAGGTTACACCTAAGATCTTGATCACAACATGCCGTTTCAATTCCACTGTAAGTATTTTTTGCTATCCTAATTTGGAACATACCATTGTCTCATAAGAGATTCCTACAGTTTTGTTGTGTTTTTTTTTTATTAATTCAAGTTAAGTGTTGTTGGATTGCAGAGAGGACCTGCATTTATATCTGAGTTGCTTTCGGTGATTCCAAACTCTCATTATCAAAAAAGAGGAACTTATGATTTGAAAAAGGTGCTGCTATTAGTTTAAGAGAATCCTTGTTCTTCTTATAAAGTTGGTTTCTTTTCGCAACTATATAACCTCTTTAGATGATGTTCTGCAGATTGTAGAATATGCAAAGAAGAAAGATTTCACATCTCTTATTGTTGTTCATACGAATCGCAGAGAACCTGGTTAGTTTTCACTTCTGAGTTTTGATGTTTTTTTGGCCTCTAATGTTATTTTTATATGGTCTTTTTCAAGCTTATCTTATTTCATATGCAGATGCGCTTCTTATCATCGGTTTGCCAAATGGTCCTACTGCTCATTTCAAATTGTCAAATCTTGTTCTGAGGAAAGATATTAAGGTATGTAAACACATGATTCTTGTAAACATCGAGTGTGGATTAGCGATCTCTGAAATTGATGTTAATTTTTAATCGCAGAATCATGGAAATCCTACAAGTCATGAACCGGAACTGGTTTTGAATAACTTTACAACGCGGTTAGGGAATCGTGTTGGAAGGTAAGTATAGTTCTTCAGAATGTTGACTTCCAATTTTTTTAATGGTCGCTTTGATTTCTTACTGATGTTATATCTTCTTATAATTCTCAGATTTATTCAATCACTCTTCCCTCCGGATCCCAATTTCCATGGTAGGAGAGTTGTGACATTCCACAACCAGCGTGACTTTATATTCTTCAGGCATCATCGGTACATAATTTCACCTTTTCTTTTCCAAGTTTCTTGCGCTAGACTCCTCCGTTGAAACTTTTTCTGAACAAGTTCAACTCTATTCAGTTACATATTCGAGACAAAGGAAATCAAACAGAGTGATAAAGGAAAAGATGGTGCTGCTCAAGAGAGAGTAAAACCTCGGCTTCAGGTCAGTATCCACGTTTGTGTGTGTAGATTGATCATCATCATCAGTTTTTGTATTATTATTAAAACTTGGATTTTATGTATAGGAATGTGGTCCTCGATTCACGCTTAAGCTAGTAACTTTACAGCATGGAACCTTTGACACCAAAGGCGGAGAATTTGAATGGGTTCACAAGGTAAAAATCACCAGGATATATACAAGTTTCCAGAGCTTATCTTAAAGAGTTTGATGATTATTAATTTGTTTCCCCAATGTTTTTGTGTGTGTTGCGTTACAGCCTGAAATGGACACAAGCAGGAGGAGGTTCTTCTTATAAATTTTGCTGACCGTCAAGTTTTACTTGAGTTTTTGTTTGTTTATGTCAAATTTTCAGATTTTCCCTATCCCCGACCAACTTTGTATGTCGTTAAAAATGTAACTTTTCTTTTCAAATATAGCCATCAGAACAATCGTACAACTTATTTCAACAACATACAGGTTCCTCTTGTTTGATTCGTTTTTTATAATGTTGGTTTAAGCTATCATTAGTGCAGCATATGCTTGTTGGGTGTATAGAGACGAAAGACACGGGACAGTCCATTCATATCTTGTTAATTTTCGTCTGTTAATAACTGAACAGTGTAGTAGAACGAGCAAAGATGCAACATAACTGAACATGATGACTTGGGTTTTAGTCATGTCGATGTTGTGACAAATACATTTGCATATGACAGGACCAAAGTGAGGTTGTCACTTGTAAGTAATCGGACTATCTCAATGTATTCGATTAGTGACAAGAATTATTATAGATGAAATAGACAAAACTAGTATAGTACTAACGTTTAATGACGTGTTCGTGTCCTCGTCAATTATGGCGGCTAGCATATATAACTGCTAGTTCCGAAAATATCCTTCGGGAAACGAATAATTAATTGTGATAAAAAAAAAGAAGCTGAAACTTAGGTCCGAAGCTCCGGCAATGAACCGTCAATAACTTGCCACGTCTCCATTCACAACAAACATATTATTGTGTCTCACTCATTTGTCAACGTTTAGGGGGAAAAACGTTAGTAACTTATTATTTGTCAACTTCTAATAACGTATTGAACTATTGATATTACAAAAAGTCGCAATAGAAGTAGTTAAATAATAGCAATTTATAGATTAGATATGATCAGTTAAAATTTGAGAAAATTTGGCTGATGTAAAGAAAAAGAAAAGAATATACTAATTTACAAGAAAAACACAATTTTTACTGAGACAAATAAAATAAAAAAGAGAAATACACACAGACACGTTTTATCAGCGATTTCGAAGAAACATTGTCAGCTTCTACTGTCTCATTTCTGATATAAATTTTGGCTTCTCTTTCAAACAAAAATATACACAGACAAAACAAAAAAAACCACCTTTCACTCAGACCTGTCTTAGTGTAACAACAATGGTGAAAGATCTTGTTGGGTATAGGTTTAGTCCTACGGGTGAAGAACTGATAAACCATTATCTAAAGAACAAGATCCTTGGCAAGAATTGGCTCGTTGATGAAGCTATCGGCGAGATCAACATCTGTAATTACGAACCATTTTACTTGCCTTGTAAGTTTTTTTATAAACTTCATCATTCTCTCACTCTCTCTTTAATCATCATCGACGATCATTTTCTAATTCTTGATTTGGTTGGTCGGTTACTGTAGCGTTATCGAAGATTCAGTCGGACGATCTTGTTTGGTACTTCTTCTCTCCAAAGGAGTACACTTCTGTGAAGAAGAAGGTGATCAAGAGGACTACTAGTTCAGGGTATTGGAAAGCTACTGGTGTTGATCGTAAAATCAAAGATAAGAGAGGTAACCGTGGCGAGATTGGGATCAAGAAGACGCTTGTGTATTATGAAGGTAGGGTGCCTAATGGAGTTTGGACTCCTTGGGTTATGCACGAGTATCACATCACTTGTTTGCCTCCAGATCAGGTAAACAAAATCTCACACTTTCTTGAATTTGAGCTTCTGTGTTAGTTGAACTAGTCTTATATTTCTGCTGAGCTAGTCTTGAGCTTCTTGAAATGAACTTTGGGATTTGATTCATCTCAAATGAACTTTTTGATGTTTCCCCAAATTGAATTTGGTAGCCTTTTTGTTTGAATTCTTCTAATTTAGTTGTCCCCTTGTTAAACCACCTCTAATACAATTTGTGGTTCTGTGTTGGTATAGTGTAAAGATTCTAACTTTGTGGTTGTCAGTTGATTTGATTAAGTCATGTGTCTTTCGATTTATGATTTTCACAACGAACTTATGTGTGTGTATGGTGTACCTTTGGAATTTGTTCAGAGGAACTATGTTATCTGCCAAGTGATGTATAAGGGTGAAGATGGGGACATCCCAACTGGTGGTAATTACTCGAGTGAGCCGAGTCAATCTTTCGTCTCTGATTCGAATACTGTGAGAGCCACCATTAACACAGAGCCTAAGGTGAGTCCAGTTTCTGAGATGTTTCTTTGTTAATGGTCTCAACTTTTTTCTTAACTTACACCTTCTTAAAAAAAATTTCAGTTTGAGCAGCGAGGTCAAGAAAATATATTCGGTATGTCTGTGGATGATTTGAGAAGTCCAATGAATAGACAAGAAGATCACTCTTTGTGGGATGTGTTGGATCCAGACATGTTCTTCAGTGCCAACAAAAATCCTACGTTGCTGCCACAAGCTCCACATTTAGCCCCAAATGATGATGAATTTCTCGGTGGATTGAGACATGTTGACAGAGAGCAGGTTGAATATTTGTTTGCCAATGAAGAGTTCACATCCAGACCGACCACATCTATGCAAGAGAACCGCAACGACCACAGGCCAAAGAGACCTTTGTCAGGGATCATTCATGAGTATAGTTGTGATACTGATAGCGACGCTGAATCGATATCTGCAACCGTAAAGCACATCACTCTTTTTCTTTATCAATGCTTTCATAAAGTAATCTGTATTCTCACGTTTTTATTCTATTATGACAGAGTTACCAAGGAACATCAAGTCCAGGTGATAGTGTTGGTAGCTCAAATAGACGCTCTCAAACAGGCTTAGATGAGATTATATCGTTGAGCAAAGATATACAAACTTCTCATGAACCTTCCATCAGTAAAAAGACCATACCATCAAAGGTCTTGACTTATGTTGATTTTGTAGTACTTGGATCTTATCATTTCGATCATATGTTGAATTTAAATGATAATGACTATTTACAGATGAAACAAGATTCGTCAAGAGCCGCTTATGCGCCCGTACACAAGGAGTCATCTTCTATGGTGAAACCAGAGAAGGTGTGGTTTATTACAGAGAAAGCAATGGAGGTAAACAGGAAGAAGAGTCCACGGTCTATCTATTTCATGAGGATGGTCATAGGCTTCATTCTCTTGCTGGCCGTCATTGGTAACATCATATCAGTTTTACTAACTTAATGAAGTTTGATCGCGAGAGAGGCGAAGCAGATTGATGAAAGCACTCCTTTTAAATTAAACTAGGTTTTCTTCTAAAATTTTGATACATAAATGTGTGTGTATGAACATGAGGTATGTTCTTGTGCCTAAAGTTAAATGAAAGTTAGCGTTTGAAAATTAAGCATTCACTATTTGACAGAGACCAGTAGATTGGGTTTTAAAAGGTTTATCAACGATTTGGTCTGTTGGGAATAGAATAATAATCTGATGCTACTACGAACCCAATCACTGACTTCTTTTAACTAATTTATTGACAACTTAATTTAGTGTATGTGTTCTTTTTCTGACATTCAATTTTAGTGTATGTGTTCTTGAAACGTGTTTTATGTTTGTATCAGTGTGGGAACAATTTTAAAAATATATATATTTGAGATCATTTCGTATGTTAGCTTATTTAATTGTAAAATCAGAAAACTGAGAAGTGGAAAACATAAAATCTTTGAATACCGAAAATAATAATCATTATTAATAACTTAAAAAAGGGAAGCAAAAGGTATACCTGGAGGTTGTGATATCATAGCATAAGGAGAAAGAGGATGTAATACTGCTCAAGAACCTCTCGACCCTTTTGTGTCTCCACTCCACCCAATTTTAAGCCACCAAACCGGGAGAACAAACAACAAAATAGGAAAATTCATTGATCAGAACAGGATGGTGTAAGAAAAAAAACTCAACAGATAAAATAAAAAAACATGTTGTATAGTTAAAAATATAAATATCAAAATAATTTACTTAAGATATTATTTGTGGAAAACTAAAATTAAGGTTATTAAATTTAAAATACGTATAAACATGTTGAACTTATACACCAAAACTTACGGACCCAATGAAAGGGACGGGATGCTAAGTCCGGTTAGTTTTCAACGTATTTAAATTTTACAACTTAATTTTAAAATTATTTAATGATAATATATTTAAACCGGTTTATTGAAGAAAAAATAACAGTTGGGATAAAGCCATGTTACATTGATTTTAAAATATGAAAACTCTAACCTAACTTTTCTATTTTTTGTTTTTGAAAAGAAAAACAAATTATTTTAAAAATTTAGCCAAAAATGAAAAAAGTCATATGGCAAAAACGTTGATGTGTAGACTAATAATAAGAAAGTGAAAAACCAAAACTTTTTTCTTTTAACTTTTTTAGAAATCATAGTCATTATTAATAATCTAAAAAAAATAAAAATTAAAGAAAGTAAAGTATACCTGTAGTTTCATAAGGACTTAAGGAGATAGAGGACCATTCCCACGTACCCCCTGACCCGAGAAGATAGCCGGAATCGTACCCCCTGACCCGAGAAGATAGCCGGAATCGTACCGGTGCCGTAATTGCTCACGACCCCTCGACCTTTTGTGTATGCACCCAATTTGAAGCCACCAAACCGGGAAACAAAAGAATGGATTGTACATAATAATTATAATAATAAAAAGAAAATTTTAACAGATAGAGAAAGATATATAACCTGAAAGCACTAGCCAAAGATTGGAGGGTAACGTACACTAGTCGCAACTCATAAGAACAGAGCAAATCTCATAACTCTGCGGATCCACGTGTTTCCTATAGCGAGTTTCCACAGCATTATCGTCAAAACGAAGGGTGTCGTTGTACATTATACTTTAAAAAATTTAAACATATAGAGATAGAGAGATATAACCTGGGAACATTGGCCAGAGACTGGAGATAGTAACCCTTAGTTCCTGCAAGTTTGATAAAAACATTAAATTAGTATAGCAAAGACAAAGAAGACACCATAGGATGTTGAAAAATCCTGACATCTCAACTTAAGCAGCATAAACAACACATGACTTATTATAGCTTTATAACAAATCACCTGATCAAAAGCTGCTAACTTTTCCATTCGGATCAGAATCAGACTCTGTCTACTACAACAATCAAAACAGAGCAACACCAATATTATACTGAAAAGAGGAAACTAACATTTACCTAAAGATTAGATCATTCATGTACACACCAAAAATGCCTGGTTCGAAAAACATTTCAGATGAACAATTAAGAGTCTTTCTTTGACATAAATATAAACTTGTGAGAATTATTGGATTCAAATACTTACATGCTTGAAAAGGGGTCGAACTTCCAATTTATACACCAAAGCAAAGCGTCTTACCCCCATATATTATGTTTTCTGCAAAAAGTCATAAATTTGTTAGGCCAAAGACATATGTGAAGAAAGACATACACAATTCAAAAATTTCATTCTACAAATGGTACTAAAGATATATGTGAAGAAAACTTCAGGGGATCGTAATCGGTAAGTCCCCCTAACCGAGCTTTGATTTTATGTCTTACAAATTTGGTATAAAAAACTAATGAGTATGAACCATAAAGACATTGATGATGTTAGGCCAAAAAAAAAATTATATGTTTGAAAAATCATGAGAGGATGTACCTGACTACTCCTATAGTGTCTAAACTCGAACCTTTAGCCACAGTCATAATACTACTAGTTGTCTACTACTACAAAAAGCTATCCCTGCTGCACACCAGAAGCAATATACAGAGGATGTACCTGACTACCAATTAATACGATTGAGTATCGAAATGTAATATACAGAGGATGTACTTGAGAAACCAAGGTTTTCTTTTTCGAAGAAAAAGTTGCTGAAACAGGAACAGAGAGAAGAAATATTATAAGATGAAATTCTTTCTTACAAACAAACAGGTATAGGATTCAAAAACATACCTGCTCGCTCAGGTAATCCTGCTGTGCACCAGAAGTTACCAAAACGCTAGAGTCTACCACAACCCTACTACTACAACAGTTCAAACATAACCAATAACACAATGATATTGAACACCGAGGGAGAGAAGTCGAACCAGAGAAAGATCATGTAAACACTCCACTAGTCCAGTTCTTGGTCTCCTGAAGCTAAAAGGAAAGATTAGTACTCACTCATAACATTTATATAAAAACATTGTGAACAAAAAGATGTACTCAGTAGAGGAACTACAAACTCTATCAAGGAAATATATTATGAAGATCATACCTTGTTTTATAAGAGGGAAAGATGCAGTCTTCAGGTTGTATCTTCTGCAATACCTCTATTTCCCTGTTCAGAAATATTGAATATAACATGCTGTCCCAGCTCAACATGACATATAGACTTTTAAGCAAGATTTGAATTCCAATCATAAAGAAAAGCCTTTTTTAAAGCAGAATACTGAATTTGATCATGCTCTCCCTGCCCCAGCAAAACAAAGCCTTAATGAAGGACATCTTTTCTCCATCAAATTGCAGATATTGAGTAGTTTAAGCAGAAAATTGAATTTCTTGGTACATCATTGTACAAGCCTTAATTTCTGTGACTTTCACTCTCCATCAATTTGCAGAACATTGAATACTAAGTTTTAAGCAGAGGATTGAAGTTTATGTCAAGCTGTCCCAGTCCAGCAAGACAATAGAACTAATATGGTGGAGATATATATCTCCAGTCTTGGGATATAATATTGAAAGGCTTTTACTTACAGAGGTAATATATCTGCTACAAGCACATCTAGCTTGTGTTTATATAGCTGTCCCAGCCCCATCAAACTATCTTTAAACGGACCACCATCAACCACAAGTCCTATAAAAGAACTTTTCTTCTCTCCATCAGTTTGCAGAATATGAATATCTAGTTTAAGCAGAAACTGAATTTTTCTATAGCAGACATTGAATGCTAAACATGCTATCCCAGCTACAGCAGACATCTGTTAATCCGAACAATTAAGCTCTCAAAGCTATTAAACAAGCCTTATTAAAGGACTTTTCATCTCCATCAAATTTTGCAGAATATTGAATTGTTTAGCTTAAGCAGAGAATTGAATATCTCAGGACATCATTGTCCAAGCCTTAACAAAGACTAGATCTTAGCAGAGTTGAAGTTTATGTCAAGCTGTCCCAGTCCAGCAAGACAATAGAACTAATATGGTGGAGATTGATGTCTCCTATCTTGGGATATAGTATTGAAAGGCTATATATCTTCTACAAGCTGTCCCATCCCCAACAATCTACCTTTAATCGGACAATCTAGATTCCCATCTCAGACCACCATCAACCGCAAGTCCTATAAAAGAACATTCTTTTCTCTCCATCAGTTTGCAGAATATGAATATCTAGTTTAAGCAGAAACTGAATTTTTCTATAGCAGACATTGAATGCTAAACATGCTGTCCCAGCTACAGCAGACATCTGTTAATCCGAACAATTAAGCTCTCAAAGCTATTAAACAAGCCTTATTATAGGACTTTTCATCTCCATCAAATTTTGCAGAATATTGAATTTTGGCTTTTAAGCAGAGAATTGAATATCTCAGGACATTATTGTCCAAGCCTTAACAAAGACTGATCTTAGCAGAGATTGAAGTTTCTGTCAAGCTGTCCCAGCCACAGCAAGACAGTAGAGATTGATGTCTCCAGTTTTTGACAAGCCTTTTTACTTACGAACGCAACATCATCGGACAATTTCCCCAAATTAGAAACCGGACAGACACAATTCATATAATGTGCGAGTCCCTTTCCTTTGGGGTTTGAAAGAAAACATCAATCTTTCTAAACAAAACTAAAACCAAAGAAAAAACAAATCTTTTTAAAAGAAATACAAAGTTTTGATTTTGAAATTGAAAAAACCCTAAGATTTGAAATCCCTCCGAAAAAAGAAGGAAACATGAATTTAAAAGAGGGATTTTTGATTTACAATAGAGAAAATTCAGAATCTTTGCAAAGTTTGAAATCACGAATGTAAAAATCCCTAAAAAGCAAACACGAATTCAAAAGAGGGGTTTTTTATTTGCAGAAACAATGCAATCTGAAGAAGCCCTAAGATGAATAGCAGAACGAAAAAAAAAAAAGAGGGCTTTTGGATTTTGCTTGACGAGAAACCAAATCGAAGTCCTGATTTTGAAAAAAAAGGGTTCGATCAAAATCTAAGAAAAAGCACAATTTACAAAACTACCAAACCCCAAAACTGAAGGAAGAAAATCACAAAAGAGGGGTTTAGGTTCAAATCCATCGTAAAGAAAACGAAACCTTGCAGAGACGATGAAGATCTTCGGTGTATCGCTCCAGAGAAAATAAAACGGAAACGAGAGCGACGGAGGAGAATTGAAATTGTGATAAACACATAGCTCTGCCTCTGCTTATATAAGACAGAGCTCTTAGTTTAGTGACCGTTACGAAATTGAAACGAGCTGGATCGGGTCTTGTTTGATGGGCCTAAAGAGTTTAGGCCCGTCTCTTCTGTATAGGCTTTCCTTTTCTTTTCTTTTTTTTTCACATTTTTGTTTGCATCTTCTTCACGTGTGGTAATGATGTTTTTATGAAATGATTTTGTGAAAACAATGTTTAGTAATGTTAAAGAAGGATTTAATATTTTTCCTTCCAGTACGATATTCGAGATACAAACTTACAAGGATTTAACCAACTTTCTTCTAATTTTGTAAATTTATACATTTCTTTTAGTATATATACTAGATACTAGATGATGACAAATCAACAAACAATCCAATAAGTTAGCTACACCGTGTTTTGTGTTTCTTTGTTTAATTCTTAACCAAATTTTATCTTCTAAGTTTCCATTTGAATTTATCTGTTGGGACCATATGAATGCGTGGTTGTGTGTTTTTTTTTTGGATTGATTTTTCACTGAGCAATATATTTTGTTTGTAATAGAAAAAAAAACAAGTGACGACGATTCATTTATTTTTCAACGACACATAAAATTAGAAGACTAATGGAAAGATGCTCTTAGTAATGGCGATGCTCTTACATTAATGGTTTGGTTGCCTAATGAAGAAGATTCATATATGTAACATGATAATTTCACAAAACTCACAATTACAAGACTATCGAACCCCAAGGAAGAAAAAATCAGATGTTTCAAAAAAAATAAAAAAAAATCAGCTTAAAGATGGATGCAAACAATTTTAATTTGAGGTCTGAACAGTTTCAATGTTTCATCATATCAAAAGACCTGGTGATGACTATTCTCAGCTTAAAGGTACGAGGAGAAGCTAACTAGCATGTCCAAGAATATTTCTCCTAATGGTAGTATGGTTTTGTGGATTCTCCTAATTGATCATTACACTTTATAGAAAATAATATATTTGGTGCTAATTTCTCTTGCAACCTGGGAAGATACTTTATATTTCACCGGATGCCTACAATCCCTGAAATCAAAGTCCCCAACTTTTTCAATCATTTTCTTGTTTCTTGATCTTGTTACCTTTCATTGGTTAATCCTATAATGGTTCATTTTCAAGGAAAACCTAAAGCTTACGTACTGGTTGACATTATGTCTTAAACAGTTTGTCTTTATACGTATTTCACTTCTTCCGATGCATTTCCCGTTGATGTGCCATGCTTGTATCCTCCTGCACGGTAACAATCGCAAAGAGATGGACAACCTTCTACGCTCGTACAACAAGCAGCAAAGTCTTAACATTTCTGTCACATACATGACAGTTACTGACAAGATACTAACTAAACAAAAATCCAAAACGTGTTTCTTTCTTTTCGGAGTTTCAATTATATGTTGGGACCATATGAATGGGTGGTTGTGTATTTTTGATTCTGGATTGATTGAATTATCATTGATCAAATATATTTTTGTTTGTAATAGAAAAACTGAAAATATTTTATTTTCATAACGGAAATGTGACTTAATTCCTGAACTTTACCTAGTGATGACGATTTTATGCGTTGTTGTAAAAAAAAAACTAGTAATTTTTGATGTGGATTGAATTTTTATTGGCAAAATGGTTTGTAATAGGGAAAATCAGAATATAATTTTTATTGTTTTGTAATGCAATTATGTTTTTGAATTTTACCAAGTGATGGTCATTCAATTATATATGTTTCAACGACACATTAAGTTCAAAAGACTAGGTACCCTCTCAATGGTTGCCTAATATGAAGAAACATGCACGTTTACCACATCTAAGACATACAAGAAAAGAAGAGTTCACAAGTTTTTTTAATCTGCGCCAATCATAAGAGAGGAAGTGATTCGTAAAACTATGAAAATAAGGTTTATACTGTATTTTAAATCTTGTAGTCTATTACTCTGATAATTGACGAGAACACATTGATTGCTTGATTTTGATCCGACAAATCTAAAACACAAAGG